CTGCTGTCCATTCAAAAATAACATTTTTCTTAATTTGGTTAACCAAGGAATTTCTATTTTTGAAAGATTTTTGATAAAATTTTGTCCATAATTTAAAATGCCTAATAAACTCTGTAATTGTGTTATATTTTCGAGAGTATCAAGACAATCTCGTACTTTGGACAAAATATGTTCTTGTAATTTTAAACATTTCTGGTCTAAAATTATTCCCAAAAATTCAATTGATTTTTTTTCTAGTTCAATCTTTTTTGGAGACAAAGGGTATGTTTGGTTTGAGTTATAAAGATGGTTTTTTTTTTTTATTTTTTTTAAAAAAATTTTTTGGTTTTGGGTTTTTTTTTTTTGGTTTTTTTTTTTTTTTTTTTTTTTTAATGTAAAATGGTGATCGGGGTGAGGCCCGACATGAATAAAAGAAGGGAAGGTTTGGTGTGCAATTCTGCTTTTTTTTTTTTGGTTGAAATAATAAGAATAATAATAATATATAAAATAAAGTGTTGTGCCACGTCTTGGGCAGATCAAATACTTTGGAAAAAAAAGTTGAAAGAAAAGTTGAAAAGATGAGAGGAGAATGGGACAAGCCCATGTGAGTGTGAGTGAAAGTGGGGTTTAAAGAAAGTGAGGTAGTGGGTTGATTAAAAAAAAGGATTGTGGGTTTGAAAGTGGAAAGATGAGAGAGAGAGAGAGAGTGAATTTGTTTTCTTTAACAAGATGACAAACTTGGGCACAAGTCTTCCACTGTGAGAATAAACCCATAAGTTCTCTTAAACATCTCCCGAAGACCACCATATTGTTTAACAGAAATGCCACATAGAACGAACATGTAGAATGCCCACATGGATGCCCACAAGAAGAAACACACAACTGGTTTCCAAGAGAAACAAATTAGTTGCACTGGTTGATTTTTCAGTTCCTTCTGTTGACCTGTCAGTTCACAGGAATTCCTTTGCAGTAACAATTTCCTTGGGGAAGCATCTGGACCATAACCTAATAAAAGAATCACCGGTACAATCAGAATAGCAGGATAAAGGGACAAATGTGTTGCTATGACCCATCCAAAAGCTGCCAATGGAATTTGTCGTGTACAAGCTCCATAAAGTGACAGTATGATGACCAAATTTTCAATTGGAGAAGTAGACAAACCCACACAACTGACTATGGTAAAAGGATTCCATAAGTACACCAGAGCAGCCATATCCCCAGATGAAAGAATCTCTGAATTTTCCAACAGTCCAACAAGGCCTAGTGATTTCAATCTTTGAGAATATGCTTTTTGAAGATTCAGGCCAGTTGAACGAATAAGCATTGCAGTGACAAAATCTGCAATGACAAAAACCAAACTGTATCCAAGAATGTGTTGATATTAACTGTGTAACTAAAGAAGTTGCTTATCAGGAAGAAAGAAAATAAAAACAAATAAATACTGTGTAACTAAAGAAGTAACAATCGTTCAGGAATGCAAATTAATATCCAACTTCTTTTCCATTGTTCGCTAATAATAATTATAATAGTTACACATTAATCAGTGATCGATACAAATAAAATTAACAACACTAGCGTCTCAGGACGTAATTTAGGAAATGTGCATAGGTGAGGAGTTTCTTTCAGCTGGTCAGCAGTCACGGCTGACAGACGCAGCAATATTGCAGGTGCTGGACACGAAGCATGCAAACCATGCGAGTTGGGATGGTCGGCGACGATGCCCGGAGTTGCAGCAAGGCAATCTGTATCTGCAGTAGGCCGAAATGAAACACTGGTTGCGAGAAGAGTTGGCGTCAATTCGAGCTAGCAGTGGTTTGAGTTACTGCAGTGGTTGGAGGTTTTGGTAGGTTTTAATTGGTTGAGGTCTGGCGGGCGGTTAAGGCAAAGTTGCCGCCCGCCAGAAGGCGAAGAGCACCAAGAGCTTAACCTTGCTCTGATACCATGTAGAAATTTAATGTATAAAGAGAAATGATTGTATTATTGATTGATTTATTGAATGTTACAATGATTCCTATATATAGAAGAGTAGGTGGTAGTAGGTGGTAGATGGAGTAGGTAAAGTGGAGGTGGTAGGTGGAGTAGGTGAAGTGGAGGTGGTAGTGGTGTAGTGGGTTAGGTTTAGTGGAGTAGGTGAGGTGGTAGTGGTGTAGTGGGTTAGGTTTAGTGGGTGAAGTAGGTGATAGGTTTTAACAAATACCAATGCACTTTTCACATAATTCTACACACTTTCACATTTTTAACACATTTCAATACACTTTGTACACATGAATCAAGGCTAATGACCACCCATCAGGTAGTCATTAGCATTTCCCTTTATATAAATCAAACCCTTTGTGTATATTGCTTGTAAGTGCCTGTCATTTATAATACTCCAACAGCACAGCATTTGCTAATTTTGAGGAAATCATAACCTATAATCAGTTGACTTTTAACAACCCCAAAAAAATAAGGTAAAAAAAGGGTCAAATCTGGTCTCTTTTCCTGCAAGACCAGGGCAATTCAGAGAAACCAATGTATAGGCACTGGCATAGCCCATACATAGAGAAGAGCTTAATTACCGTGTTTGCAGTTCTCCATGCTTCCTCATTAAGTTCTGGTCATCACTACTACTACCTGCTTTCTCGTCAGTAGCCCAAGAACCAGATTCAGACATGGCTGCAAAGTCGCCCTCAGCATCATGAAATCTATATTCATTTGCATCAGTAGACATATTTCTCTCAACTTGCTTTCTAGACCTGCTCATAAAATTTAAACATATATCTAACTGAGCTTCAAAAATTATATCTACAAGACAAACAAACAAAGAAGTGATCACCAATTCAAAGACACCATTCCTTAAAATTCAAGCAAGATGCAAATCACCCTCAACACCATCATGATATCCTCAAACATATCAATCGCAGTGATTTGCAGTCCAATATGTATATAAATGAACGTCAAACAAAATAAACAATTTTCATAAAAGATGCTTCGCAAAGTTAAAAAGTATGTATTAGTTCTAGAAAATGTTGGAGAACCACTACAAACTGATTGTAAGCAAGGTTGTTAAAATCGGGATCCTACATTGGATCATTGGAGGTGTTTATAGGATTGGGTCGTAGAATCGGATCAAGGATCGTAACATCCGACCGAAAAAAGACAAATTACATAATAATTTAATTTAAATAAACATTTTTTAAAAAGTATGCACAAAATGAGCCTATATTCTATTAAAAAAAAGTGAAGATATTGTGAAAAATATAATACTCCATGTAAAATGTACATATAATATTATATAATAGAAAACTCGATGGTAAAAGTTTTGTATTTCATCAAAAAAGAAGGTAAAGAAGAAGAATTCTATAACAAAATACTTTACGATCTACAATAATGCATAAAAAGTGAAGAAAAAATATTTAACAAAATTGAATATGAAAATAGATTAAGAACTCAAAAGCGAAGCTTAACCGAATGATAAGGTTTGTCGTTAGCATCCCTAGTGGAGCGGATTCAAGTAAAAAATAATCTCTCCAAAAATTGGGATAAAGTTGCAGTTATCTTACCCTCCTTAGACTCCACTAAAGCTAAGTTTGTTTTTCCGACTAGTTAATTTTTTTAAATTATTGCAATATTTGAATGTTCGTTTCCTAATTTGTTTTTCTTAATCTATTTGATTTAATACTACTTAATTTTTATTATTTATGTTGATCACATAAATTAGTATTTAGACAACAAACATAAAATTTACAATAAAATATGTCATACAATACAAAACAAGGCTTGTAAATTGGATCGGATAAGATCGGATTCAGATCAGGATTCCACGATCCTATAAGATCCCATTAGCAGGATCGAAAGATCCTACCAATAAGGAATTTTTTACACGATCCGGATCGATTGTACTCAAATGGATCGTAAGATCGTAAGATCCGGATCGGGATTCTGATAACCATGATTGTAAGGAGTTTCCTATTACAAGCAGTACCAGAGCATACCAAATGAAAGATTATGTAGGCATGGCTGCAAAATTAAATAACAGAGCCATTCACATAGTTCACTCGCCTTTCGGAAATAAATAGACAACATACAATCCCATAGAAAGCATATGTGCCACATCAAATCAAACACAGTTGAGCATTATAGTCTTATTCAGCGTACTAGCAATGATACTATGCAAAAGACCAAAGACACACCAGCATCATGTTAAGATTCTGCCTATGCCAAACTCAACAATTTCTATAAAAGGAAAACATCCAAAATTTAAACCTCCATATCTTGCGCACAATTTCCTTCTCAGGATCCTTGCAGCTAGCCCATGTTTCCTTCCAAGTCAGTAAATTACCAACCATGCTGCAACAAAAAGCATAAACAATTGTGACCATCCAATTTAAAGCAAAGAAACAATGAAGAACACAGTGTACAATACAAAGCAGAAAAAAGAGGTAGCTCATCAAAATTACATACCCCTTATGATACTTCTTTAACTCTGAGTAATATGATTTCTTACTTGTCTTGAAACATTGTTCCTGATGAAGAACAGCATCAGGATGAAGGTTACCAGAACAAAGAGAATCACCCCTGCAAGGATATGGAATTACACCATAAAGCATGAAAAGATTAACATTTTCAAAAATAGAAAGCTCCTATAAATTAAAAATTGCAGTTGCTAAATAGGGCTACAAAAGAAACAAGTGAATTGCAGTTGTTTACGGACAGCTCGGGATTGGCTTGATTAGGAGCATATTCAAGTTCATTCACAAAACAAGGCGAATATCAAAGTCATTATATTAACAAGTGAATTTTGAACAGGTCTAGGATCGGATCACTGGCCCACAACCACTAAAGGGCCAATTGTACCTGCCAAAAAAATAAAAAATTCTCAACTCAACAAGCTTTTTGTCCCAACTACTTGGGATCAGTTACATGGATATATTTCCTCCAATTGGATCAGTTACATTATTTTTTTAAAAAACTGACAAAATTAAGCCTTATATTTTCCACTCAAAAATACCAAATATCAACACTTGCCATTTGATAAAAGGATTTCCAAAGTGAAAGTTATCCCCCGCAAACAATTCTTGGACAACTTGATGCATCTCAGCTCCCATAGGAAGAAACTGCATAAGATAATTTCTCTCATTTTCAGATAAATGAGTCTTCCAAACCTGTAATAATTCCACAAAAGGCACATAGAAAATACTGAGTAAAAAATCACTCATAAAAAAGACAGTAGTTAAGCATCACCATGAAATTAGCATTACCTCGTAAGAGAGCACCTCTTTTAAATTGTCCAACTCAAAAATTTCATGAGGAACACCAAGAACATCTGCCAATATATTGTGGCAATGAGGAACATAATCAATGAATGGAACCAAGTCTCTCCGTTTTAAGCTAATTTGCTCCCTCTTGGCAACAACACTCTTCCTCTTGTCATCCCACTTGAGAGAAATATTGGATCGCACATTTAAATCACATTGTAGCAACCCAAATTTCTTCTTTTTTTCTCTGCCCTTCTCTTGAAAACTAGTAACGCTGGCAGTGGTCAATCGTTTCTTCCTCTGATCAGCCGCCATTGGCACAAATTATCAAAAATATCCACAGCAGAACATGATAGAAATGTCACCCAAGACGCCGACCTGATCACAATCAATGAATAACTTCCTTCCCTTCCTTCCCTATGTGCAGTGATACCATGATAAACATTATAATCAGCTAACTTAAATTGTGATTCACTAAGAACGGCACCACTTAATGCACACATTATGCATAAATGGCATCCAACATATGCTAAAATAAAATAACAAAATAGTGTCAAATTATATAACAAAATATTGCATGGCGCAATATAATCATACTATCAGCTAAACATCAATTAAGTCACTACACCAGAGTTGATCATTTGCTTAGAGTATGCTCTAATCACCCTCCTAATGATTAAATAAGCACCTTGAACCAAATTCAAAACTTGTCTTTGTATGACTGTACACATCAGCATAACAAAAAGAAGATTGGTAGTCAACAGCTAGTTCCACTATCATAGAAAGCAAAGAAAATCAAACTCATAAATTGTTGTGTGGGTCATCCATTAACCAAATGGAGGATTGTAAAAGAAACCACTCACGCACAGGGTCACAAATCACAACCCTATTTTCTTACTGAAATGGGAATATTAGTGTTACTAGAAAGTACAATGTGTAATGGACAACATCATATAAAACATCCTCACATATTAGCTATATACAAACAATATATGCACGTATAAAACAAATTAAAGTTCCCCTTTCTAAACAAGTTCCCAATAGATTTAACAATTGGATTTTTTTTTATTGCATGTGTGCACCTATGTAGTAAGCAGATTTAATTTGTTGCACCTGTCACATGAAATTCCAAGTACAATGATGAAAAGAACCACCACTCACTAGCTTCATAATGAGCAAATGAGTTCAAAAATATATATCCACTAAAGGCTCTTAAAAGGTTCGGAGGGAGAAACCCACCAATTTCCTTCCCCTTTTTCTCTCCATGTCATCTCTATTACTACATGGATGAAATTTTACAGTTCTCTCTTTTTCCTCCTTATTTTCTTTTAAGTGAATATAATTGAGTATAAAGGCTTTGAAAAAATTACACCCAAGGGACTAAATCCCCCAATTTTGCATCTTCTATAACTTATCTCAAACAAATTAGTTAATCAATTTGTAACTTCAAAGTAAAATACCCATACCATTATGCAGGCCCGTGCTATAATTAAACAACCAACTACCAATCCAGATGGTGAAGCTTACTTCCTTCTTTATGAGTAGCAAGCCCCTTTAAAATTGCAACGCACACTGCCACCATGTTTACTCTTGCCTGCCTTCCCAACTGGCAAGACAATTTCAATTCCCCGAGGTCACAACCCGCCAAAATCCCTGACTTTCAGGCACAGGTTTGAGGGGAAAATAAAATTAATAATACTAAATCGATTGTGTCTCAAGGTGCTGATAAGGAATAGCCTGTTAGTTACAAAATTTCTCGAGGTATTTTTCTCCTTTTACTTTCTCCATAGTAAGCTATAGCGTGACTACTTCATATTGCCATAGGAAGAGCTCATCCACATGCATGATAGATCGACATGAGGTGCTAAACCTGAACCGTAGTCTATAGATAATACAAAGCCTGGAGGAGCTGAAAAGCTATTAAGGCCTCATTTGGCATGCGAGTGTTTTAGTCTAAAAGTCAAAAAGTTACTAAAAAAACCAAAAAACCTAAAACCTATAGCTAAAAGACAAAGATTCTCTTTTTTCTCTACTTTTTGCACATCTTTTCGTAAAAAATCAAAAAGTCATTTCAAGCATACTAGTTTTTTTTACCTTATATTTTAGCCAAAAAAGTTACTAAAAAAGCATGTTCCCAAACGAGGCCTAAGAGAGGTAGAACTGTGAATTTACTCATGATTCTTGCCGTTGCATCATCATTGTTATACTTGAGACACTAACTGTATGAACAATTCAGGGGAATCTTCCTAATAAATGGGCAGCTGGGGATCTAAAATGACTGAATGAATGAATAAATATCTATGACCAACCAAATAAATAAATATCATATAATAAGCCTTCAATGAAGGGAACACTACTAGTGAACCAAAATAACATTGATATTAATGCAAGAATGGACATGTGGTGAAAGTGGCTGCAAGATAAGAAGAATATAAGAGACATTACTATTCATAATTAGAGCAGTCAGATAAAGCTGCAAGCTAAGCTAACGATAACGACAATAGCTCAATTAAATATAAACAGACATATATTTCCAACTTTGGGTTGTTTACATCTGGTTGGTTTCAAGGTATAAACCATTCACAGTGCAAGTGCAGCTGTATATGCAAAACACAATTCTCTTCGTCATCCTGTCTATTAGAAAAATAAATAAAAATTCCCACTTGGATGGAGGGGTTTGATGAAAAATAAAAGAAATGGCGAGAATAGGAAACCCCTCATTTGTTTGGATGGTTAATTAGGTGATAGATACCTATGTTTTGTTTCTCACCAAAATTAGTGAGATTTGGTGAGAAAAGAATTGCAAAATTATATAAAATATCAAAATTACCCTTATGAACAAAATAACCTTTTAATATAGAAGGTTATTTTGGTAAAATAAAATACAATTCTTTCCTCTCTTTTTTCTCCTATATACTTTATCCAAACAAAACAGTTGACAAATGACATTCGCTTCTCTTTTATTCCTCCAACATAATGGTGGTGAGAAACATAATCCCTTATTTTCTTTTCTCATCCAAGTGAGAAATCACAATCATAATCACAATCATCTCTTTTCTCACCTCACCCCACGGAGTGTAAAGTTCTAGGAAGTATCTGCACTGTATCTATGTCGAGACATTAATTAATTAGCAATCTATTCGAATTTCCCAGAGTCTTTCCCTCTGAATTCCTCGTAAACTAACCATCAGTCAAAGAACAAAAAGAAAGAAGATTAAACAAAAATTAACATGTTAAAGTCAATTCAGGTTCAGCCAAAACATTTGGATGAAATAAACAAATAAAGATTCCGTCTTTTGTTAGTAAGATAAGAGAGACACAAGCCCTAGAAATAGAAGCACAGTGATAACACAGACAGTTAAAATAAATACCTGTAAGTCTATAACATTCGCAAAGCCCGAGTACGCAACGCAACAACTCCAACCTAAGACGCGTCCTTATGCCTTGAGACGATTCACCGTAAAAGTGACAGTTCAAATCCCTCAAATAAATTCAAGATTTGGGGTCAGAGAGATAGAAAACACGCCACACCACAACACACCACGTAGAGGTGTATACGATTCGCTTGTTTGATTGAGAGAGAGACACAGAGAGAGAGAGAGAGAGAGAGAGAGAGGAGAAAATAGAAGAGAGAGAAATAAATCAGACGACGACCGGTATGGTTTGGTTTCTGAGAACCGTTATATGTTAATTTTTTTGCAAATTATACAAATATTACTTATAGTTTGTGATTTATATCATTTTTAATTTTTTATTTTTTAATTATGACATATTTAACTTTAAATTTTAAATCTTATTTTAAATAAAGATAATTAATGATACAATTATTTAATTTTAATGATAAAATCGTCAATTTAATAAAATATAAACTAATTTGACAAAAATAAATGTTAAAAAAATATCTTTAATTTTTTAAAAATTATTTTTATCCACCAATGATAAAATTATATAAAATTGATAAAAATTACGTAATTAATTTTTTAAAATTAATTTTACATGATCATCATCCAAACACATAATAAAAATCAAATTGGTAAAAATAAATAAATAAATATCTAAAAGATTTATCAGTTTTACATAATTTTATTTGAAACAAGATTCAAAATTTATGGTCAAAAGTGTCACAATTGAAAAGTTAGAGACCAAAGTGACATAAGCCCCAAACTATAGGGACTATTAGTGTAATTCACATTTAAAAAAAAAAAAAAAAAAAAAAAACAACTCCAACCTAAGACGCGTCCTTATGCCTTGAGACGATTCACCGTAAAAGTGACAGTTCAAATCCCTCAAATAAATTCAAGATTTGGGGTCAGAGAGATAGAAAACACGCCACACCACAACACACCACGTAGAGGTGTATACGATTCGCTTGTTTGATTGAGAGAGAGACAGAGAGAGAGAGAGAGAAGAGAAAATAGAAGAGAGGGAAATAAATCAGACGACGACCGGTATGGTTTGGTTTCTGAGAACCGTAATATGTTAATTTTTTGGCAAATTATACAAATATTACTTATAGTTTGTGATTTATATCACTTTTAATTTTTTATTTTTTAATTATGACATATTTAACTTTAAATTTTGAATCTTATTTTAAATAAAGATAATTAATGATACAATTATTTAATTTTAATGATAAAATCATCAATTTAATAAAATATAAACTAATTTGACAAAAATAAATATCAAAAAAATATCTTTAATTTTTTAAAAATTATTTTTATCCACCAATGATAAAATTATATAAAATTGATAAAAATTACGTAATTAATTTTTTAAAATTAATTTTACATGATCATCATCCAAACACATAATAAAAATCAAATTGGTAAAAATAAATAAATAAATATCTAAAAGATTTATCAGTTTTACATAATTTTATTTGAAACAAGATTCAAAATTTATGGTCAAAAGTGTCACAATTGAAAAGTTAGAGACCAAAGTGACATAAGCCCCAAACTATAGGGACTATTAGTGTAATTCACATTTTTTTTTTTAAAAAAAAAAAAAAAGAGAGATCATGTCAGATATCATCCTAGAGGCTTTTCCCAAATTAAGCCAAATTAGCAACTTAATTCCCAAACTAACCCAGGGGTGAGTGGCAACCTGATAAGGGCCTGGGGTTTAAGCCCCTAGGTCCTGGGTTCAACTACTCTCTGGGCCAATCTCTTGGGCGTAGCACAGTTGGTTAGGAGGTTGACCTCAATGATACCTTATCAGCTACTTGGTGTGGGTTTAATTCTCCCCCGCTGTGCGAGTCCTGATTTAAGCGGAGCTTGCCTTGGGAGGTCAGAACAAGCTTCCAGGTTATAGTCTTTTACTCGGAACGGACAACAGGACACCCTGATTATCTCCTCAAGGGGCGCTGCCTTGGACCTGCCGGAGAGTGGGAGGATTTTCCTGTAACAAAAAAAAATAAAAATAAAAAAAAAATCCCAAACTAGGCCTAGTTTGGACGGAATTCCCAAACTAGGCTAAAGCGCTATTACAAATCACACTTTTACTGTGTTCTAGCAGACAATTTGTGGAATAGTAAAAGCATGGTTACAAACCACGATTTTAAGGAAAATTTGTTTTCTTCAGAAAACGTGGTTTCAAACCACGCTTTTACTGTGCTTATTTTGTTTTCTGAAAAAAAATGTGGTTCCAAACCACGCTTTCACTGTGCATATTGTTTTCTTAAGAAAACGTGATTCTCAATCATTCCTTTCATTGTGCATATTTGTTTTCTTAAGAAAACGTGATACACAATCACGCTTTCACTGTTGAACACAAGAAGCGTGGATTGCAACCACGCTTTTAACAATGTAAAATCCGTGGTTAAATGAAAGCGTGGTTATGAACCACACTTTTACAACTTATATAAGACCCCCCAAGCCCCCTCATTTGCAATCACGTTTTTTACACTTACGTTTTTTTCGACTCTCGCTCTCCCCTCTGCTCTGCTCTTAGACTCTCGCTCTTGCTCTCGCTCTCGCTCTTGCTCTCGCTCTGCTCTCAGACTCTCGCTCTCGCTCTCGCTCTCCCTCTTCTCTCTGGTTGGTATGGCATTTGTCTCTCTCTGTCTCATTTGAATTTTATGTGTTTATTATGTTTGTGAAAATGTGAATGTGTGGTTTTGAATTGTGAAAATTTTCTAGGGTTTTCAATTGAATATGAAATCATAAATTATGAAATTAGAAATTAGGGTTATAAAATCATAAATGTGTTAGGGTTTTGAATTATGAAATGTGTGGTTAAATGTGTTAGGGTTTTGAATTATGAAATGTGTTAGGGTTTTAAATGTGTGGTTATGAAATTATGAAATCATAAAATGTTAGGGTTTTGAATTGTGAAATCAGAAATTATGTGTAGACACCCCATTTTTGATGTTTTGAATTATGAAAATGTTCTAACCCAAATTTTTGTTTGAATTTGTCTGACAATTCTAGGGTTAGGTAGTCATATTCGTATCTATATGTATATTTGGTTATGAGTAATATTGATTAATAGTTTTATAATTATGTCCGAGCTGTAGTGACCCCTAAATGAACAGAACGGGAGCTAACCCTCCCGGGGCGTTCGGGGGACGTCTACATTATGCTTGTGGTTTCATAAATTAGGATTTTGAATTTTGAATCGTGTCTATATTTTTTGCATTGTGAATTGTGAATCCTGTCTATATTTTTTTAGGGTTTGAAATTTTGAATTGTGAATAAACCAACCTATATTTGTTGAATTGGAAATTTTATTTTTTGCTTGTTAATAAAATGATTTTTTTTTAATTAAGAATAAAATTATGAGAATTGAAATTCATATAATTGATAATTGAGAATTGAAATTCATATTATGGAATTCATATAACTGATGATGCTTCTAATTTATGAGAGTTGGGAATTGAAATATATTTTTAATATCATTAAAAATTATTATTTGTCTTAATGATTTATTAAGACAAAAAATTATTATAAATGGAATAATCATTTATTATTATAAGGGAATAATGATTCTAAATGGGAGACTAAAAAATGACAATTTTTATGTCATTCTATCTCATTTCAATGACTAAATAAAACAAAAGGTATAAAATGACTAATTAAGTAATCAATCTTATAGATTGATACATTTCTTATACATATTATAATTGTTGTTTTAGACATATTTTATAAATTATATATTTCTATTTGTAAATCAAAACATATCGGATAAATTACACTCACATCTCTTAAGATAATATCTTACAAATTTAACATAATCACACTGACCTCTTTAGACCAGGTTGAGTTCCACATAAACTTTGTCCAAAATGTTCATAGACTTGGGCCAAGCTCTTAGACAGGCTAGGCACAATGTTATCGTAGGCACTATGAGCTACGCGGAGCTATCTACCCAGGCCAAGTCAGCATAATTAGGATGACCCCCATTACAAACACAATATCATTCCTCAATTTCGATATTGAACACAGTAATATTAATGGCACAATTTGGAACAATACTTGGTTTCTTCTTTAAATTAACACCTTCTCCTCATTGTAACATTGCTTCAACATCATCCAGGTATTAGATCATCTCTATTTTAGAATATTATTAAAAAATTTAATCTATAGTTTAGAAATCTCTTTTTTCATCTATTTTTCTTAACAAATTCTCTATTCTTTCTCTATTTTATTAACAAATTCCTTTTTTTTTTCTATTCTATTAAAATATTATTTTTAGTTATAAATTTAAAAAAAATAAAAATTATAAATGTGTACTGTAGTCCCTAAACAAAACAAAGCAAAATAATAATAACAATAATAAAAATAGAAAAATAGCAAATATTAGTTTAGGATGTGATATAAGGGAGCTGGTGAGATGATATAAGGGAACTCCAACTCCATAAAATAGATAAGGAAATAATTTAGGGGGATAGATGGGGATGCTCATACCTAACACAATTCCCACCAATTAAAAAATTCAAACTATACTCTCCATACCAGTGGACAATGTAAAAGTACATGGTTGACAGTTTCAATTTCCTTCCTGCAAAAGAGAGACAAAGTGCTAGCATTATTATCCAACACCCCAATTCTATGTAGAAAATTGATGTTTTCACTCTGCCCCTCAAAGCTAACAAACAAAAAAAACTGAATTTTGAGAGGTGCCACATTCTTCCACAACCATTTGGAAAATCAAACCAAACAATTTATTTTTGTCAAATTTATTTATATTTTTTCAAAAAAATCAAAAAATAATTTAAAAAATCAAACCAAACCACTATATCATGTATTATTTTTAATATACATTCAATAAAATTAATAATTTTTATAAAAATTATTAACTTTGATATTAGAATAATTTGAAGACATTTCATCATAAAATACTAACATTTAATTTATAATTTTTTAATAAAAATTTAAAAAAATTTAATGAGCTGAATTTGTAATACATATAATAGCATTATAGCATAAATTCAAATTTCCTCACAAAACTTAAGAAAATTTGAAAAAGTTTTTGAATTAGGTATTTAACGAAGGGACTCATCGCCACTTCCGCTTTGTGACTGTCCACTGCCATTGAAAAGAAAAATCTTAACATTATGTTTTAATAATTTTATTTTGATTTATATAATTAGAAGTCATTATTAATTGCACCGTGCCTTCAGGCACGGGCATACACTAGTTATAATATATGCATCAAAAGAGTCTTAAAACATTCTAATTAATAGTCCATAGAAATTTCCTAGGTAAGAAGGGGAAAAAAAAAATGGCACTTTGATGGGTAAGCCTGTGTTTCATAATACCAAATAATTACTACAAATGGCCCAATAGATTGACATGGATAACTATCCAAATTTTATTACATAGATTTAACCACCTGTACGGGAAAGAAATAAACATTCTCGTATAATCCTGTTGATCAAGTCTGCGCTCCTCCGTACGTCGTCGCTTTACTCCCTGAAAACACAAACGTGAGCTAGTCGGCGGGTGTATGCCAGATACCTCTCCGATGCCTAAGTCAGCAAAATAGACAAAGACAAAAAGCTCTGTGTATCAAAGCTATGTGTTACCTCTCCATAGGTGATATTGTAAGCTTTATAGGTTCCGCGTGGCACAATCCTAGTAGGACTTTTACTCCTCCATGTAGAGTCCTCCTAGGATTTATACTCCTGAAAGATAATGCCTATCCTTCAACACCCCCCTCACTGCATAAACCAAGTGAGATGGTTCTACCATGGTCAGACTTCAACATGACCGAGATAAGCATGGCTATGCTTAAGCCGCAGACTAGACCGAGATAACATTAGCTTGGCTCTTCTATTCACTGCTCTTACCTTGGCTCTTCTTAATGCTTAACCACGGTATGTCTAGACCGGAATAACCAATACTCCGATCCAAACTAATGCTTAACCACGGTATGTCTAGACCGGAATAACCAATACTCCGATCCAAACCGGGATAACTTTGTGAGTGACGACCAAACTTACCATAAGCTCTTTGGGATCGAAGTAACTTCAGGTCTCT